ACACGAACTAACGCCTGAGACAACGCCGAAGCCACCAAGCGTTTGAAACCACCAAGTTCTGTGGGAGTGGATTACACGCACACGCGCACGCGCACGCGCACGCGCACGCGCACGCGCACGCGCACGCGCACGCGCGCGCACGCACACACACACACACACACCCGCGCGCGCGCACGCACGCACACACACACACAGAGACACACACCCTAAACCCTAAACCCTAAACCCTTAAACCCTAAACACACACACACACACACACGATTGTCTAGAGTCTAGAGGATCCTCCTGGCTATCAGCCGGTGGACCTGCTTTGACACGGCCAGGGCTTCGCGCCGGGGAAGAAACTACATCTTCTGCAGACTCTGGCTGTATCTTTGATGACAAGGTTGGCACACCCTTCTTCCAACCGACATGCTAATCTTCGACCTTGGCGCGCTGCAACCAAGACACCATGAGCGAGTCATTGGCTTGAAGCAGGCTCGCCGTCGTACTCGCAGTGGCTTCCTGCGGCAAGAATGCACCTACTTGGCCTCTGAAGCCGGGCGACGTTGTAGCTCCAGCCCATGCGAAGCTCTTCCGCAGAAAATGCAGTTCAAAATAACCAAGGCGCCGCAAGAGACTCGTTGGTTTGAAGCAGGGAAGCCGCCGAAAACGTTTTGGCCTCTCTGGAGCTCTTGGGAGCTCGGGATTCGAGGCTCATTGGCGGCTCTGGGTTTCAGATACATCCAAGATGCTATGGGTTTATATGCTACAATATGACAGAACATATCATGTTATAACAAACTATGAGCAAAAAGAATACAGCATGACACAATATAGCATAACGCAATATAGCACGGTATACAACAATAGTAACGACAGACAAAAAGCCTGATATGATAGACATGCATTTACACATACATGTATACACCATAAGAAAGTTAGCGAACGCCGTCGGCAAGGTAAAGTAGTAAAGTATAGTACAACATGATATACCATAACACACACACGATACACTCAACATGCTGTCATCTCATACTGTACTGTACTGTGCTTATGGCAGTGCATTAAGGTTCTATTCTATTCTACTCTGTTGCATTGGGTTATCTCATGCGATGCTAAAATATGGTCTGTCACTTTATACGGCTGTAGTTACAGTACATTATAGTACTGTAGGCAGTGCCATAACATGTTTTGTTATACTATTACATGTTGATTTGCCGGGCATCATGCTATATTTCACTATGTTGTACGAAGACATTATGCTGTACCATGGTACACAGTACTATATTACATCACGTTAGACATATTGCATTATACTCGTTTAGATTCTATGACAGAAGTATCTTAAAGTATACTTGGGTATGTACACGACATTGCATTCATACTATATGTTAGATTTTAGTATACTATATAGTCTACTGTACCACCCTATGGTATACTATGTCCTTTGACATTGCATTGTATTGTGTTGCATTATGCTATATCATGTTATAAGCTCTTGTTTTGGGAGGTTGGGCTGGTGCGCTTGCATCTGGGTCTTCTTCCGGCGCAGCAGTATGTTGTGGAATGGTAATCAGGAACAGAGGTACTCACATCCATCAGCAAGATTCTCGAGAAATTGACTAAAGTGACGAAAACTCGACTTTCACGAGGCGGGCAAGGCCAAGCAGCATCATCAGTTTGCACGCTTCCCTGCTACTGGAAACCAGGCCCAGCCCAAACCCGCATGCAGAAGACTCTCGACGGCTGAAAACCCTAGTTTCTACCAATTGGGCCTGTCCATCGATGTGCGACACCGAGAACGTGGCTCCATCTGCAGCCAGCCGCCACTGCCCGATCTGCATAAAATCATCACCTGCGACGCTCGGGTGTCGTATTGTTCTCAACACCAGATTCTCTTGGGTTCAGATTCCGAAAACACGGTTTGTCAAACAAGCACACAGCGGCGACAGTAAATAAACCAATAACTAAGAAACGATAAACACATGTGTATATATTGTATATACATGTATGTGTGTATATATATATACACATACACACACACACATGCACACACACACACACATTATACCTGTATCTGGTAAGGGCTGGCCTGTGACAATGCCCGGGCAGGAGCCCATGTTAGCCTGCAAGCTGCCGCAGTGCCAGTGCGCATGGCGCGCGTTGACTGTAGGTCCGTACCTTTTGACTGCAGCTTTTCAGGATTTCGGGGTTGAGGGCTTTGGATTTCGTAAGAATTACCCTCCTACTGTTCCCAACCGCGACGTTTGTAGGCGGCTTCGTGAAAGTAGCCGCCGTGTGCCGCAGTTCTGACAGCTTGTCGCAACAGTGGATCGTACTAATGTCACCAGCAGTATAGAGAAAAACCCAGCACTGAAATGCGGTGGCTGACAGGAAGTTTCGCGCATCGGCACGACGAAAACGTCTTTGCTCTCCCATGCCGCATCAAAACGCAGCATGGCTTTTCTCTCCTGATTGACCTCGACGCAAAAGCTCATTCTTCAATCCTGCTGGCTCCGAATCATTCGTATTCCGTACGGCTTTGCACGCGATGCGGTGCGAAAGTCTGTGCTCCGGCCCGCGAAGCCGGGGAAGAGCGCCAGAATTGCAAACCCTTCATGTTTAATCTGTCGTTTATTCAACAGATAGTCTGAAAGTCGTCATACACAAAACGAAGCCACATCGGTTGAGATGAGAAATGATGCGCGATTTCTGCAGTTTCGACCAAATCAAGATTTATTTAAGCTAGTCACTAGTCTGCTTCCGGCTGTGAGACCCAGTCAAAAGACTATTTTCTGTATTCAAGCTCCTGGAGAGGCTTGCCTCGCCCGTTGTGCAACGCCGCAGACACAACAAACCTTGTCCCTTTGTACGATCTCCTCAAGCCTAAACTGCAGCACATCTGCAGACACCAATAAAGTTCAAACCTGCGCAGGTTCAGTGGCCCTGCCACGAGACAGCAGGCAACATCGTACACGGGCATTTGTTCACAGCGTCCCTGCCTGTGATAGATGAAGGTACCGTCGAAATGCTTGAAACATCGTGGAAGCAAGTGAATCTGGAAGCAAATCCAGTGTCAGACTTAGACTCTATGTATAGGATCAAGCTTAGAGGCTCAGGGCGCTCTAGTAGGACATGATATAATCAACCCTCTTGGTGGACAGCACATGTTGCGCTAGGCCTTCAACGTATAACCGTATAGATGTATACCTATGCCCACATTTGCTCTATATGAATATGTCCAACCAAATGCCAGGTGCACGTGCTTGTTGATGGTGCCACACCAGCCCCAATGTGCGTGCAGGAAGAGAGGGGTTCCACCAGGGACGCCGGAGAGGTAGGTAGTGGCGAGATGGAGTCCATCAGCGTCACCGATTCGGAATTTGCCGATCTGTATGAATCGATCGCCAAAGGTGACGCCTGAGGCAGGTCCGATGGGCCTTGACCACGCATTGTGCGCTGTCGTCGGGCCATGAGTGATGTGCCCCGTAGACGAGTAGAATTTCGGCGTCTGGCCATCCTTATGCGAGATGCTGAGATGGTCATCCATAGCCGCCACACGCCAGTTTCCCATCTGTATGAACTCATGTCCGAAGGCGATGCCCGAGGGATACCCGAGAGGCCTGTTCCAGGTGTGAAAAACGGAGCTGGGGAAGCTTGCATGTACCACTCCGTCCGATGTCAAGATCTCGGAAGTCTTCCCATCCTTGTGAGCGATGGTGAAGTGACGGTCGTCGAAGATCCCCATGCGCCAGTTGCCTAGTTGGATGAACCGATCTCCAAAAGCCGCAAACTCGGGATCACAAGGTCCAAACGCGGTTACCTTAGAAGAGCACATCCACTCTAGAATCCCTGAGGCTTCACATCGGAACCTTGACATTTTTGACACTCTTGGCAAGGGGTTGAGATGGGTTGAGCTCTAGACCGTACTCGGGAACACTGTGGGCCTGCAGAGTTCTTACAAAAAGTGTTCTTGTCGCACGCTTTGACATCTCTGTGAACCTCTCTGCGAGAGAAGGTCGCTGGGCCCGCCGAAAGTAGAGGTTCTAGCGGACGTCTCTTGGAGACCAGGGTGAGCATTGAAAGCACACAGCAGGGACAGCCCCTCAACCCTCATCCCTTGAACGGAGCGATAGGACCCCAAAGCAAAGGGATCCGGATTATGAGAATCCCTCAAGCGATCATGACTGTCGAACACCCCCCCCCCCCATCTGAGTCCGAAAAAGACTTCAAGAAGGCACCATCCGAAGCCTAGGATGGTCCAAGGCTCACCGATGTCTTTGACAGTGTAGTGTGCTGGTGCCCGATCGAAGTTCGTGGTGTAGCTTTTTTTGGTAGGATGCGTTCTTCCGTCACTGCCGTCAAAGACCTGGATACTCGTCTTCGTTTTGACCTTGGGTGACCGCGTCAAAACCAAAGGGCAAACCTGATTCTCACTTGAACAGAAACTTCACCCTAAACCCTAAAACCCAAAACCCAAAACCCCTAAACCCTAAAACTTCGAGGCCACGTTCGAGATGACGAAGCGCAGGCCATCTTCGTCTGCAATCCGAAAGTCGCCCAGCTGGAGGAATCTGCAAGCTGGTTGGCCCTTTAAAGCCTCTGAAAATATCAGTAAATAGGGCCCTCTTAAGCCCACTAAGGGAAAAACATCCCAAAGACCTACCTAGCAAGAGGTCGGGGGTTGAGAGAACCAGAGAGACATGCCGAGAAGCCCATGAATTTAGGATTTGTGGTTTAGGCTTTTAGGATTTAGGGTTTAGGGAACCTGGATACAAAATCCCTCTTCAAGGGCCTGTCGCCGTAGCTAATGCCCGTCGGCGCTCCAACAGAACGATCCCAGGTTCCGAATTCCTGGGCTTCAGGGAAGTCGAAGCTCGGGTCACGTACCCACCGAAAACCTCACCAACACCTGACGCCACGCATAGGTTTTCACGGTGCTCTTAGGTGTCTCACCGCCCGAATCTGACCCCCTCAAATTTCCCTGGTCGTGCCGGTGAGCCTTTCGCGTTACGTCGTGGGAGCTTATGTGGCCATCATCTCTGAAGATCTCGATGGTGTTGCCATTGCTGTGCCTTGGTGCGAGAAAACCAGGAAGAAGGGAGGCGCCGCATGCAGTCGGAGAAAGCGCGCCATACCGACTCTTCTGAAGGACTAACTGGGCCCAGGCTTTGCAAGCAAAGTTTTTGGATGAAACATCATACCCGCGGCCCCGCCCTCAGAAGTGCTGAAAGCTTTCAGGAAAGCCAGTTTTCCAGCGCTGAACCAAAGCCACAAGACGAGCTGTCCCTGAAGAGATCCGTGTACCAGGACAGGCGCGAGTGGGCCCCTACTTACCTTTTGATGCCGGGAGGGCACGAAATCGAGAAGTGAGTATCGTCGGCAGCACCCAGCCGGAATTGCCCAATCTGTATGAACTCGAAGCCGAAGTGGATGCCGACAGAGTGACCGCTGGCCGTCCGCGGCCGTAGGTGGCCATGTCTGAGCGCTGGGGATGGTTTTTCATGTTACGAGACCCACTGATCCAGACATGCAACTTCCGACCCAACATTGCAATACACTATCATGTACCACAGTATATTATACAATGTTTCTGTAATGTGCTATAATATGTACTATACTCATCCGAAGGACACGTCGCGCCAGGCGCCCCAATCGGTTCTTGGGCCGTAGTGGTTGGTGCCGTCGGCGCGCCAGATCTGAATTGTTTGGCACGCCTGGCTCGGAAGTCTCAGTTCGGCCCTCAAGCTTCCAAAAGAGACGCTATCAGAAAATCTGTGGAAGCCCCCTCCCAACTCCGAGCGGTTCGGGCTTAACGAGGAGGCCCGCGCCCGACAACACCGTCCTCAACACAGCGTTGGCCGCCGTATCTGGTGGCTTGATGCTTCGTTTCGAAGTCCGGAACCCCCCAAATCTAAAGCCCAAACCCCAAGCCCTAGATCTCATACCCCCACCCCCCCGGCCGCCCGGCCAGCCCGGCCTGGGAGTGACTGGGCGGGCCTGTGATGCCACTCCAGGCATCATCCGAGATGGTCGCTGCACCTCGGAAAGCAAACCCACCGGTTTTAGGACGTTGATGATGATGATGATGATGAGGATGATGATCACGAATATGGTGCTACGGCTGCGCATGCTCTCTCTCTCTCTCTCTCTCTCTCTCTCTCTCTTTCTTTCGCCAGGGCTCGCCCTCTCTCTCTCTCTCTCTCTCTCTCTCCCCCTCCTGGTCTAAAGCTCCTCTGTCATCAGCTGCTGCCACCGTCTGCACCACGTAGTGTGCACTGCTGTGTGCCGTAATGTGGGAACTAAAACACCCCAAGCCATTACATGATGTGGTGCAATGGACAAACTCGAAATGCAATGGAACGAGAGCATGCGCTAGAGACAACAGGTGTTCTGCGACCAAGTACTGCTGGACAGAACAAGAAGAGCACAGATCATGCGCATGGATGGCCTGCCATGACCTAATGCAAACTGGAAATAGACACCATCGAAGACCGAGCCCCGTCGAAATCTCAGGTCTGAAGGCCCTAAACCCTAAACCCCAAACCCTAAACAGGCCCTAAACCCCTAAAGCCCTAAACCCTAAAGCGGCATTTTGGGGGGGCTCGTAAATGAAAGGCCGGGTCGCTGCTCTGCAAGCGGCAGTTACCACTCCTGAGAGGTGACGTCGTGGCTCCCGACGGCTATCTTGTTGTTGTTTATGAACCCCCGCACCCCGACTCGCAGCAGAGCAGGGCTGCAAGGGCAAGGGCCACCGCAGCAGGAACTCGCCGTTTCTTCTGTAAGCTTCGGGTTCTCCACTGTCCGCACTCCACCTTCCCCTTCCATCCAACTCCCACTGTCCTCCACCGCTGCCCTCCCTGAGATTGAAATGGTAGTGCCAGCTGGCCTTGATGGCTAGCTATTTAACAACAATGACACTAAATGACACTTGCTCATGCAGATTGGACGTGTCATTGCAAACTTCGGAGGAACCAGCATCAGCTGCGCTAGCTCTCGCAAGTCACGCACAGGGAAGCTCAATGCCAACTCAGTAGAACATCAGACGCAACCAGCACGCACTGAGGATACGGATTTGCCATGAATCTCTTGCATCTGTGTCAGTCTTGCAACTCGCATGCTCGATACACATTTCAAGAGTTGAGCATGCGCAACTACGACCATCCCGTCGATCTCAATAGCGGGAGCTTCTTTTGTTGCCTGATGCTAAGGTAGAGGTAGTGGAAAACCGAATCAGAACGTGTCAACGTATTTACCCGTGTAAATGCAATGTAATCATGACTTCCACAACCGTAGACACAAGCCCGACACCTTGGACACCTTGTGGACAACACGCGCTTCCCAACTGCGTCCGAGAATCGGCCAGAAAGTGAAATGCGCGCAGCCCGAGACACTTTTGCATCCTCATGTGCATAGGGGGGGGGAGTCGAAACAATCACAGAAGGGTGTTGGGAGCATAAATAATCGCAAGGAATGGGGAACTCCAAGGAGTAATCTTAGTAAGATGTACTACGAATGCCGCCCCTCTGTTCGGGGATTCTTCAGGGTTTTGGGCTTCGAACCTTCCCCTCGGCCCAGAGGCATAAAATCAGGTAATATAGGGCCTGTCATATTTAGAATAGGATTCCTTCAAGTTTATAAGGAAGCAGAGCAGGTATAGGGTCTTGGGGGCGATGAGAGTACAGTTCTGTAGGGACTATCAGGGAACAGTAGAACCAGTTCCTGGTTTTTTGTTTCCCAAACAGTTTATTCCCTAAACTTTGAACCCTTTCCGCTCTGGTGCCCCCGATTTTCGATTTCCCGCTGAAGGAATGTTGTTGCTTGGATGCTTCTGTGTTAAAAAACTTAAACCCCAGACCCCTTTAAGCCCTATAACCCTAAACATCTAAACCCTAAACCCCTAAACCCCTCTAAAGCTTCTGTGTTATGCGGCCGGAGCATGTCGCGCATTGTTCATAGCAGGTGCGAAAGCTGCTTTTATTCGTGTTGGGCCATGGAGGCCCTTTGAACTGATTTCCCAACATCCGTGCTCCCACTCCGGAGAAGGGATTCGTATTTAGCGAAGTACCCACATGTGTATAAACATCGTCCCGAAGAAGCAGGGGTCGACCCAACACACTGAAATCCTCCCAAGCAACGCTTTGAGTTCAACGCCACAACACCAAAAAACATCAAAGGGCCAAGCTTGTCGGAAGAGACTGAATATACCACCCTACAACCTCTGAAATGGTTCAGCTCAAACATCTGGATGTGGGATATTAGCGTGATCAGCGGAACAGTCTTGGAGAGCCGTGCAAACACGAGAACCTCGAAACTTGCTCTTAAACTTGAAAACATCATGCCTGCGGAGTGCTGAAATTAGAGCCAGGATTCTCTGCTGACATGCCATCCAGTCAGGTTCGATGGTCACGCCTCCGTGCAGCTTCTCTTCTGTGAAGGCCCCGTGCATGGAGTCGTTACATTCCGGGCTTGGGTTCAAGACAAAATATCTCACACCCTGAAAGGATGCTCGCCCCCTCGACACCAAAATATAGGCTTATCGCTTCCTAGCAGAGGGTCACAAATCTTGCGTGAGCTGAGGGTTGTTCTATATCCTTGTTCCACGCATGCCAACTAGGATCCCTCGCGCTTCGCCCTTGCGCGTTGCTTGGGCGTGCTTGCGCATGCGAGGTGTTTTGAAGACTGGGGTTTGTTATTTCCATTTCGGAGCACACGCAAATCTGTTTCTGGGTTTGCCACAAAACGGCCCACTCATGCTTCAGGCAAGATTTCCTGCGGCTGCATCTACCTACAACGCTGCTGAGTATC